CAACAGGCACATTATATAGTCTCGCCGATTCCCTTAAACCTTTCCCTTCTTCTGTAACACTAATCACTGCTGCGTGCATAGACTCATCGGTCCATAGCTTCCTTGAGTTGTGAGGACATGCGGCCATTAAGCCTCGGTTAACCTAAACAGTAGTTATAAACTAGTATTTTCTTTGAAGCATTAGATATATCACTTACATACAATGCCAGTCACATTAGAGACAGAAACAGGCTGGAACAAAGTCTCCAAAAACTCACACAGACTCGAGCAGACAATACACTAGGACCGTAGTAACTCGCAACGTGGTCATTATTAGTAATTATTACCTTAGTAGGCGTGATTTCAATAAATAAAATTTTAGAAAATTAGTTTTTAGTAAAAAGCTGCGTTTATTCAAACTATCTGTGCAAGAAAATTATAAGTCAGGTAGCAAAGAAATTGTAAGCAAGAGCTTGTTTCAATTCAAAGGTTTGTCTCATAATGTGATCTGTCTCATTACTCACGCATATACTCTATACATAGCAGGCGCTAGGCCTAAGTGACCCTTATTCCATAAAATGAAGAACATTTTTAAAATTATAAATTTTACAGTAGATTTCACTTCCCTTCCAACTTCGAACGGAGTAACTTTCCGTGATCGTGAATGAATTCATAGACATACCGTACAACAATCACGTGATCAACTGTGTCTACGGCACCGGGGGTGTATGCATGACCATAGATTGTATTACTAAGTAACACAATCTTAGTAACACCATAGGTAACACAATCTTAGTAACACAATCTATGGCATGACAGCCTCTTAATTAATCGCGTGGCCTTTTGGTTTTCTCGTAGATAATTAATACTACGTGGTTTTCTCAAACAAGTCTCTCGGGACGTTTTTGATTGCATAGTTGAAACATGATACTTATACTGTTATTTAGTATAACGTGGCTTAGAGAAGCAAGAGCTAACTTGATAGCGGCAGCTCTTCCTCGTAGACCAGTGCAAGAGTCAGCTAGTGGAGCAGGTCGAGCTGCAGCCATCATCGCTGGTGATGATAGAATCATCTGGTACAAGAGTGACGAAAATGATCATTACTTTTTGCTGGAGCCTGAGCAAGAAGTGGGAACGAGATACTTTCAGAAAAAAGAAGAAATGGTTAGTGAAATTAATTTTAGCACTGACTGGCAGCCATTGTATTCTCATATATATAGGTCGTGGCGAGTGATTGCTGTAAAGTACCCAAAAATTGTCTTGTGTGAGGCTCAGTGCCCTTATACTTACACTTATTTGTATGACATAAGTTGTTGCAACGCCGGTCCTACAGCACTTCTAACTAGTTTTAACTATTTTTTCATGTATAGACCCCTTTCGGCGAGAAGTAGCAGCTTGTGAATATCATTAATTTTGCAATGAATATCATTATATCTCAGTTACGGTATACACCCACATACAATAATTGGCCGCCATGTTTTACGTCAAGCAGCAAGTGCTTTCTGTGTCCTGGAGATCTTGGTCACTACATTTTGAAGCTAAAAACTATTTTAGAGTCAAGAAAGATGCCAAGAGAGCCAACCTAGGGAGTATAGTGCAATACTCTTGTTGTATGAGCCTGCTTTCCTCTTTGGGCTGTGACAGAGAGTCAAGAACTGATCGTTCTGGCTCTCCCAGACTTCTTAAGTCTTCAAAATATCTTGCTATAGTAAAGAACAGTTGATATGAAGCCTCTCATAGTCCTGAGTTCAGCACAACAAAAGTTTTATTGGCAAAACAGCTCTACTTTGCACATCAGCCATTGAAACTCTGCATAACTTTGACGTAAAACAT